TGCTGCGTGAGTTGCCAGGCTTGAATAGTACACGTGGCCACAGAGGCCAACAACGCTGATATCTTCACCAAGGCACTTGCGTCTCGTGACCATCAGCGGTTCTGTACTCAGCTTGTTCTAGTCTCAGTAGCAGCGCCACTCCTTGTATCCTTATATCTACTCTACCAGCTTGTATTTGCTATTTCTATACCTGCATGTCTTGCTACACCTGCTGACTGGCCTTGTGGCCCCTTGTCTTAGTGGTCAGACTAGTAGTGCTGCCCTAAGTTGTCTTATGGCAGGGCATGTCACCTAGGGCCTGACTAAGGAATACGCTTTTATGGTGGGGCGCAGGGCCTATATCCAGGGGAGAAATACGGTATGGCACTGGACTTGACCTATTTGCTGGCTTGTCTCTCTGGTGTTATGGACACTGGCTATATTGATTTTGTCGCTAAGCTGACTTGCTTGTTGGTCTGAGAGGAAGAGAAAGATTTCAAGTGCAACATGAAGAAATGTTTAGGGTGCAGCCAACCACTCAAGTAAATATTCTACTTTGACATCCTAGTGTCAAACATATCTGCATATGTTATTAGAGGCTAGGTAGGTGCATGCTCTTAGAGAGTACAACTCACTAGCACAAAGTCACCTTGTACCCTCCATTCTAGACAATGCGTTATTCTGAGATGGTATCATGCTAGGTTAGGTCCCTCACCTACGCTTCCTCCCTAGATCGCCCTAGTCCCTAGCGCCCGCCCTCATTCGTAGCGCCCGCCCTAGTCCCTAGCGCCTGCCCTATCATGCGCCAAGTGAGCCCTCGCCCGCTGGCCCCACGCTCGCCCGCTGGCCCACGCTCGCCGCTGGCCCCCACGCTTGCCCGCTGGCCCCGCGCTAGCCGCTGGCCCTTGCGCGTGCCGCGCGAGCGCTCGCCGCTGGCCCCATGCTCGCTCGCTGGCCTCGCGCTCGCCGCGGGCCCTTGCGCGCACCACGCGAGCCCTTACCGCTGGCCCCATGCTCGCCCGCTGGCCCCACGCTCGCTGCTGGCCCCACGCTCGACCGCTGGGCCCACGTTCGCGGCTGGCTCCTAGCTCGCCACGGCCCTTCGTTCGCCGCGCGCTAGCCCCAGCTCGCCGGCCCCAGCTCGCCGGCCCTAGCTCGCTCGCCTGCCCTAGCCCACCGGCCCTTGCTCGCCGTCCCTAACTCACTCGCCGGCCCTAGCTCGCCGGCCATCACTCGCTGGCCATCACTCGCCGGCCCGAGCTTGCCGGCCCGAGTTTGCCGGCCCGAGCTCGCCGGCCTCAGCTCGCCAACCCCAGCTCGACGGTGCTCGCTCGCCGGCCCGCCTCGCTAGCCGCCCTTTAGCTCGCTGGGCCCGGCTCGCCAACCCCAATTGGAGCCGGCCCCTGTTCGCGGCGGCCCCAGCTCCTTCCGGCCCCAGTTTGAGCCAGCCCCAGTTCGCGCCGGCCCCAGCTACCTCCGGCCCCAGCTCCTACCGCTCATGCATGCCACCGCCGCACCATCGGACTCTGCTTGCCAAGCTGAGCCGTCCCAGCCCACCGTGCCGCGGTGCCGTTGTGTGGCCGTGCCGCTGTGCTGCCGTGCCGTTGTGCTGCCATGTCGCTGTGTTTCCGTGCCGCCATGCCGCTGTGTCACCATGTCGCCGTGCCGTCGTGCTGCCGTAGCCGTGATGATGGCAGACACTGTGCTCCGCGTTGACGTGGAGGGTCGGGCTGTTGATTTTAAGGCGTGGCTCATTGACCGTCACCGTCAGCTGACGGGTCAGCACCAGGATGACTATTCCCTGGCCGTCCATGTCCATGGTAAGCTCCCCTGCCCCGACGCGCCTGCTTCCCTCTCTGCACCCCATGCCTGCTGAGCGTGAGGCCTTTGCCGCTGCTCAGCTTGCACGCGCTGTCTGGGAGTCGCGCGATGCCGTAGCGTAGCTTGCTGTTAGTCATGCCCTCCTCCTGTCTGAGCGTCCCCGCTTTACGGCTGTAGCGAATGCGAAGTAGTACTTATAGTAGATGCGGTCATTGCACGCTATTCCACTCCCTCCTCTGCCTCTGCCGACCGTCTGATCCTCCCCATGCTATTCCCTGATCTTGCGTCCTTCCCCACTGCCACTGATCTTGCCACTCATCTATGCGCCCTTGAGACAACCTACCGCGCTGCTAGCACTGAGGCCCAGCTCGCTGCATTCCCTCCTCCCCTTTACGCTACCTTTTACCTCATTGCCACCAGCGTTCCTGACCGCCTCGACACTGCACGTGACCACTTAGTCATCACCCAGGTGACCTCACCTTTACTGCCTTTGTCACCACCCTGTCTGCGATAAAGACCTGCCATCGCCCTATCCCTCAGTCTAGCGGTATTGTGGCAGTCCTTATCTTCTAGTGGTGTGCTCCCTCCCAGTGCACTTACTCTGACCTTCTGCCGCTGTCGCTGAGACAGCCCCTGCTGCTGAGACCGCCGCAGCGACGGCCTCAACGCAGCCTCGTCAAGGTAAGGGTCGCCGCCCCAAGGGGGGGGGGGGGGTGGCGGAGGGAGGGGTGGTGGGGAGTGGCGGTGGTGGTGGAGGTGGTGCGAGTGCCGGCGATACCGACGAGGGGACCAGGGCTGATCTCCTAGAGCAGCAGCAGCAGCAGTCGCAGCAGCTGCAGCAATGGGGTCGCCTCCTGCCGGGATGTCCCGGCAGCTCTGGTGGTGGTGGCCGCGGTGGCGGCCCTCGCAGCTCGGTGTCGGGTGGCAGCTTCAGCCCCGTGAGTTGCCAGAACCAACTCCAGTCTGGTCCCCTTCGCAGCACTGTGTGTGGCCGTACCGGTCACACCCACCTTGACGACCTCTTCTGTCTCCGCTTCGGCCCTGCGCCGAACCTCCCCGACTGGCCCAGTCTCATGCGTTGCTGTGTGCCGGTCTTTGAGATGGATATGGATCAGATTTGCTCTGCTGTTTAGCCTTGGCTCTACGCTAGCTCCTCCACCGGCTGATGGTACTGCGGCTCACTCCTTTACGCTAGACTCTGGTGCGCCTGCCTACTTCTTCTGCGACCACACTGTGCTTACACCGCTTGCCGCCCCTGCCACTGTCGCGCTTGCTCACCCCTCCTCAGGTCCGGTAGTTGCATGTAGCTCCACTACCCTTCCCTGTCCGGTGGTTCCCTCGCGCTCTCTTACAGGCTTGCACACCCGCTCGATCTCCAGGAACCTAGTTGGTGTCGGCTGTTTTCAGGACCTTGGCGTCACCACTACGTACCCTGGTCACGAGCGGTACGCGGTCTGTACCGAGGCCGCCACTGGTGCCCCCCTCACCACGTTCTCCCGGGACCCGGTGTCTAGCCTGTTTACGCTGGACACTACGTCCCCCCTGGTGAGGACGTCCCCCCAGGTGCCTGCGTCTACCCAGGTCGCTCCAACTTGCTCGAGGCAGTCGCTCACCCCCGCGTCGCTACTGTGGCACCACCGCTTCAGTCACCCTGCACTCCCGCGTACGTCACATGTCCCCAACACGGTCTTGCCTTAGGTCTCCCTCCCTCGCCTGCGCCGCCATGCATGCCCTGCGTCGAGGGTCGGCTGCGCCATGCTCCTCACTCCCCCTCGCTTCCCCCTACCACTGCGCCACTCCAGACCCTGCACCTGGACGTCTGGGGCCCATCCCGCGTCCTTGGGCTGCGTCGAGAGCGCTACTTTCTAGTGCTTGTCGATGACTACACGCGCTACACCACGGTGTTTCCCCAAGAGCAGAAGGCCGACGTGCCTGACGTTCTTATCTTGTGGTCGTAGCTGCGCGAGTCCACCGCGACCTCCCTGTGCTGCGTCTTCACTCCAACCGTGGCGGCGAGTTTGCCTCCGGTCGGCTTGGCCAGTTCTGTCGTGCGGAGGGCATCATCCAGTTGTACACCCTGCCGGACTCCCGTAGCGGAATGGGGGTGCGAGCCCTGGGGGCGCGAGCTCTGAGGGTGCGATCTCTAAGGAGGGTTCTAGTTCTGGGGGTACTATCGTGGCTTGTCCCGGCGGTCCTGGGGGTGGCACCCGTGCTGGAGAGGGTTCTTTTTCTGGGGGTGCTAGTCTTGGGGGTACTTTCGTGACTTGCCCCGACGATCCCTGGGGATGGCACCGGTGCTGGAGAGGGTTCTCGTTCTGGGGGTGTTAGTCCTAGGGGTACTGTCGTGGCTTGTCCCAGGGTTGGGGGGGTGTCACCGGTGCTGGAGAGGATTCCGTTTTGGGGGTGCTATTGTGGAGCGACCCAGAGGTAGCCGTGGTGTGGCTGGAGGTTCCGGCATCAGCGTGGAGCAGCAGCAGCAATCGCCGCCAGTGGTCCTTACAGGGCACACAGACGCTTCGTGGGCAGACGATGCTGAGACGCTCAGGTCCACCCAGGGCCGCTGCTTCAGCCTTGGTGCAGGCGCCATCTCGTAGAGGTCCACCTGCTCGTCACCCGTTGCACAGCCTAGTTGTGAGGCTGAGATCTACGCTGGTGCCATGGCGGCACAAGAGCTCCGCTGGCTGACTTTCTTGCTCACTGACTTAGGTGAGCGGCCTAGCTCTGCCCCGGTCTTGTACGCCGACAACAGGGCCATGATCCTCCTGTGTCAGGAGGCTCGACTGGAGGGGCAGAGTGAAGCACATCCAGCTGCGGTACTTCCTTCTGTGCGAGCTACAGCAACAACACCAGGCCCGCGTAGTTCAATTGGCCTCCGACGCCAACACAGCTGAAATCTTTACCAAGGCGCTTGCGCCTAAAGATCATTAGCGGCACTGTGTACAGCTTGGTCTGGTTCCAGTAGTTCCTCACTTGCTAGGACCTTGATTGTGTACTACTCTTTTATATATTCTCCTGATTGGCCTTGTGGCTACTGATCCAAGGGCCGGACTAGTAGTGCCGCCCTGGTTGGCTCGTCTATTTTGTACTCTTCGGACTGGTCTTCTGACCCTTGCCTCAGAGGTTGGACTAGTAGTGCCACCTGAGCTGCGTGTCTCTTGCCAGGCACTGCCCCTTGTCTAGCCTAGGGGTTGTGTCAAACATATATGCATATGCTATTATTGGCTAGATAGGTGGATGCTCTTAGAGAGTACAACTCACTAGCACAAAGTCACCCTGTACCCTCCATTCTAGTCAATGCATTATTCTGAGACCTAGCCCCTACCTATCAGCTAAAACTTCCTCAATTTCAAGCCTCGCGTCCTCTTAGCCAAGAGTGAGATAGCAGCAACAGCAGCAGCAGCAGCAAGGAGACTGATGGCAGCAGCAGCAAGACTGATGGCAGTCTGGGCGAGACCAGGTGGTTCCTGAGAGGAGGATGCCGGTGCTGCTGTGGGTGCTGGCACTGGAGTCTGTGGGCCAAGGGGTGAGTGCAGCAATCTCAGCAAGGCAGGTAAGCAGTGTCAGATCTCATTGTGTCAGACCTCAAGGCAGTTACACAATCAACACAGTGGATTTCATTCACGGATGGTGGCAGATGGTGGGCACACTTGTGCATGGGCGCAATGCATTCATGTCATGAGCAGCTCACGGTCAGTCTTCCATTAGACTCAGATCGTGAGCCATCAGGTGCTCTAATGGAGCCGTCGTCGAATCTCCGGGAAGAAGCATCTGCACATGCGTGCAGGCTTGGCAGCACGGAGACTTACACGTGTGGGGCGTGCAGGAGGAGCAGAAGGAGAAGCAGAGGCGGGCAGAAGCTGGTGGCGTTGCTCTGCTGCACCACACACTTGCTGCCGTCTGCAGGGCAGGTCAGCCCCGAGCCAGAGATGCTCCTGGGAGCGAGGGGGGAAGAAGGGAGGGTGGGGGGGGGTGGGGGAGGGAGGGGGGGGGGAAGGGATAAGGGAAAAGGGAGGAGAAGGCCAGGGCAGGTTGGTGTAGCTGGAATTGGAACGAGCAGGAGGGGCATGGCTGTGGCACTGGAGCATGCCACACATTGCTGGAATGGTGAGAGGTGAATCACGGTGTAGACCTGTGTCATGTGAAGTGGAGGCAGTATACACGATTGTGGAGGTGCAACCATGGGATATGGGTGCGTGGATGCATTACTCACAGGGATGTCAGCTCAAACAAGCATGCCTATGCCAGCAGGTATGGGCCCACGCAAATGTTGCCCTCCAAGGCCCCTGCCATGCCACACCATGCCATGCCATGCAAGCGATGAAACCATATAAATGCCAGTAACCACAATGCCAGCATTCGCAGCTCTTCTTTAAGGCGAAAATGCAACGGCTTGGTACAACTCTACAGACCTGAATGCAGCACCGAGACGCATCATACAAGTTAGTGCAGCAATGTCCGCTCGGCCTCCAATTCACTTCATGCCCACCCCCCTGGCCTGACGCCAGGGAGGGCTGTGCGCGGCTCACAGGTGCTGCAGAGATGTGAGGAGGCTGATGGACGCAGGGAGAGAGCGCTGAAGTGGTTGCTGCTCACATCGCTGGGGGAGAATCAGGGAGGGCAGGGGCAGGTTGGTGAATGCAGCCGCTGGCACTCAAGTAGGGTCAGTCGCTGAAAGGCTGGACTAGCAGACTCATCACCATCCTTGATGCCAATGCATGCTGTTGCATACCATTGCGTACCATTGCATGCCATTGCATACCATTGCATACCATTGCATACCATTGCATACCATTGCATACCATTGCATGCCATTGCATACCATTGCATACCAATGCATGCCATTGCATACCATTGCATACCATTGCATACCAATGCATGCCATTGCATACCATTGCATACCATTGCATACCATTGCATACCATTGCATGCCATTGCATACCATTGCATACCATTCCATACCATTGCATGCCATTCCATACCATTGCATACCAATGCATGCCATTGCATACCATTGCATACCATTGCATCCCATTGCATGCCATTGCATACCATTGCATACCATTGCATACCATTGCATACCATTGCATACCATTGCATACCATTGCATACCATTGCATGCCATTGCATACCATTGCATCCCATTGCATGCCATTGCATACCATTGTATACCATTGCATGCCATTGCATACCATTGCATACCATTGCATGCCATTGTATACCATTGCATACCATTGCAGACCATTGCATACCATTGCATACCATTGCATCCCATTGCATACCATTGCATACCATTGCATGCCATTGCATACCATTGCATACCATTGCATACCATTGCATACCATTGCAGACCATTGCATACCATTGCATACCATTGCATCCCATTGCATACCATTGCATACCATTGCATGCCATTGCATACCATTGCATACCATTGCATACCATTGCATACCATTGCATGCCATTGCATACCATTGCATACCATTGCATACCATTGCATGCCATTGCATACCATTGCATACCATTGCATGCCATTGCATAACATAGCATACCCATGCATACCAATGCATGCCATTGCATACCATTGCATACCATTGCATACCATTGCATGTCATTGCAAACCATTGCATGCCATTGCATACCATTGCATGTCATTGCAAACCATTGCATGTCATTGCAAACCATTGCATACCATTGCATGCCATTGCATACCATTGCATACCAATGCATGCCATTGCATACCATTGCATACCATTGCATACCATTGCATACCATTGCATACCATTGCATACCATTGCATACCATTGCATACCATTGCCTACCATTGCATGCCATTGCATAACATAGCATACCAATGCATACCAATGCATGCCATTGCATACTATTGCATACCATTGCATACCATTGCATGCCATTGCGTGTCATTGCATACCATTG